ACAAGCTCCCCTCTGTGAAATTCGCTATGTATCTCGGCTTTTGCGTTCCAAGGTGGTACCAAACAGCGATACAAACAACTGCAATCATGATGCTGAAATCCAGAAGAACTTTTGGGGATATGTTAAGAAAACTCTTAAAAAGGACAAATCGATTTTACCTTCCTTTAACGTATCTGTGTGTACCGACTTCTTCCGCACATTTTTTTGTAAACTCAATCCCACAAAATCTTTCAAAGTTCCAGACTGGATCCCATCTCTATCTCTTCCTTCAGTTCCATACAATCTAGATCCTCCTTCTTACCATCAAATCACGAAAGTTGTTCGTCGAATGAAGTCGTCTGGTTCGCCTTGTCCGCTTGACAAGCTATCAATAATACCTTTTAAAAGATGTCCATATCTCCGTACATACATGACTGAGCTAATTCGAATAATTTGGAGTTCGGGTGATATACCTGAGGAGTGGAAACTGGCCTGCACAGTGCTAATCCATAAACGGGGCGATGCATCTAATCCTGAAAACTTCCGCCCTATCACCCTTGAAACCATTCCACTGAAAATATTCACATCTTGCCTACGCGATTCGATGTTTGCATTTCTCTCCGCAAACATGTACATTGAACACAGAATTCAAAAAGGGTTTCTTCCAAGACTGTCTGGAACATTCGAACATACTGCACACATGGCTTCTATCATTAACAAAGCTCGAATCAAACAGCGAGCTGTCGTCATCACATTACTAGACCTAAAGAATGCTTTCGGTGAAGTCCATCACAATCTGATCCCAGCAGTTCTTCGCTATCACCACATCCCTGAGCACATTCAAAATATTATCTGCAGCCTTTATACTGATTTTAAAACATCTATCATAACCGATACATTTCGTACCCCTTTTATACCGGTAGGCCGCGGTGTCCTCCAGGGTGATTGCCTTAGCCCATTAACCTTCAACCTTTGCTTTAATACTTTCATTCATTACATCTCAGATAATAAATTCAGCCAGTTCGGCTTCTATACAAACTCCTTAAACCCTGTCCATTGGTTTCAGTTCGCTGACGATGCGGCAGTGGTTACTGGTCAAGAAAACGAAAATCAAATTCTCTTAAACCACTTCTCTAGATGGTGCTCTTGGGCAAACATGCATATTCGGGTTGACAAGTGCTCAACATTTGGAATTAAAAAATCATCTACTTCATCTGTTCAGTTTCTACCCAAACTTATTGTCAATAAAAACATAGTTCCCACTGTTGAAAAAGACAAATCTTTTAAATATCTTGGTAGATACTTCAACTTTCCTATGGATAATAGTGATCATATGTCAGAACTATTGGAAACTGTCAACTCGTTAATGTCGAGTATCGACAAATTGTCGTGTCATCCAAAGAACAAAATTCTGTTATACCACCGATATGTTCTATCCAAAATTTCCTGGAACCTGACCATCGCTGATTTAAGCAAGACATGGGTGACAGAGAATCTAGACAATGTTGTTTCAAGCTTTGTTAGACAATGGCTCGAGCTGCCAATAAGTGCTTCACTAAGTAGCCTCGTCATTCCAAAATCGAAGTTTGGCATCAATCTCATTCTTCCATCTACCAAGTTCTTACAATGCCAAACAGTTATCCGCAACTCTTTAAGACTGTCCCCAAACCAAGAGATTCGCTCTTTATGGAAAGACTCTAGCACTGGTACAAACATACAATATGACGTTTATCGCAACACAAAACAAGTTCTCAAATCCATCCAAAGTGAACACGAAAACCGCATTGAAAACGTTCTTACATCTCAAGGATTTATTATCTCGTGCATCTTAAAATTTGCTTCTAAGGGAACTAATCAACTTTGGTCTAGTGTCCAGCAAAAGTTACCAAAAAACATTTACAACTTTACCATCAAATACCTAAACAACACTCTTGCCACTAGAAAAAACCTCTGCAAATGGTCAATTACTCAGTCATCTGCCTGCTCTTTCTGTCTCCAATCAGAATCATTACAGCACATAGTCTCTAGCTGCAAGAATTATCTTGAACATGGTAGGTATACCTGGAGACATGATTCTGTACTTCTATATTTGGCTAAAATCCTTTCAACACCTAGAAACAGCTCACTTTACGCCGACCTGCCTTCATTTCTATCACCTTCTTTAATCACAGGCGACTCCTATCGACCAGATCTTGTCTTCGTAACTGAAGATCGAATCCTCTACATGCTAGAGCTTACTGTTGGGTTCGAAAGCAACATCGACGAAAACAGTACTCGAAAAGCTAGGAAATATAGCGACCTTATCAAGGAACTGAGCCCTGCCTATAAACGTGTTACCTTTGTTAACCTTTCTATGAGTGCCCTTGGCATTCTGGGAACCTCATCTACCTCTCTCTCTGACATGCTACACCAACTTAATTTTGACTCAAATCAAACTAAATCCATCTTGATGAAACTCATGAACATTTCTATCCGCTGCACCTACTATATCTTCTGTCGTCGAAACAAACCATGGCTAAGCCCCGAACTAATTGACTTTTAAATGTTGTAATGCAGATAAGCCAATTATATGATGCCTGTAAAAGCGAGTCGTATAATTGTAAATTTAAAATGTATTCAATGAAAATGAGATGTTTAAAAAAAAAATATTATAGACATTTCAGCGATCTATTTAAGTTATTTTGTAAGCAATACATAAAAATTCATTAAAGATAGTATGAAAAGGCCAGCGTTTTTTAATTTGATTTTTCTGTAAAATGTCTAAACCAGACGCCCCATAGCGATTGATATAATATAATCCTGTCCCGTAAAATAGTCGTCCACATACTTGAGGATCTTACCGAATTTTTAGCAATGTACTTATAATCTGAACCGTCGTACGACATTACCAGGTCTGTTATTGTTCGGAAAGCAGAGATTGAGAATTCACTTGAAAATGTAGCACGTTGACTATAGTCAACAATTATAGTTGCGAAGTTCCTAGGAAGGCAGTTTTGGACAATTCTAAATCTAGAATTATTTGCTCCAAATAAGATTATCCTCATATCGTATATATTATATAATCACAAGCGAACGAGAATAGACAGCGACTTGCTAAGCACTACAAGAAAAAGTTAAACCTTAGTGTGTCTACGTAATATAAGTATCAGCAAGTCTGAAATGCTTGTGCCAAAGTAGGGTTCGGCTTTGATTTGTAAAGGCTCGAGCCCTTCAACATGGACATTTGGCAAGTGCTGAATGATCTACCTCTGATAGACAAAAACATCACTAAGTGCAAGAAACATACATTTTGTGTTCGACCAAAAGGCCTTTAGACCCATGCATAGTTGATGTTTAAATTTGTTCAGTGAATTAGTAGTGGGAATATAGACAGTGGTTTCATGAAGACCGTGAGAATACACATTGATGAATTCGCATTTTCAATAATTGCGGAATTAGGGAGCCAATGCAACCGCAGACCAGAAAACCGTAGCAGGTGCCTATATATAAGAGTCACCCGGTTTCTAAAGTGAAAACCCGGTTCCTGAAAATTAACTTTTGCCTACCAACAGTTTGCCGCAGGACGTATATACTGAAAATCAATTATTATAATAGACTCGTGCTTAAAATCAACGGCGTCGTAATTTGAAACAGAGTGCAATGGAATTACTCTCTTATACAATGAATGCTAATCAATGAATGCCCACCAATGGTAAATAAACTGCTATAGATAAGGGCGTGAGCTGCATGTGCTGTCATTCTGCATTCTTAAACGTCACACCAGGAACTTCAATTGTGCTTCGATTTGCTTTTACAAGATGTTTGTTCAAAGAATTAGCATTGAGCCTCCGGTAGCATTGTTAAAAGCTTTAAAAAGGGGCGTTGTCTTGAAAAGGCATTTTTGTTTTCGTTAGGCAAAAAAGAAATTCCCAGATTAATTGCAGCAATTCAAAAGGTACAGGCAAGAAATAAAATTAGGTGTACAATATGAAAATTCTAATTCTGGGTCTTTTAGGAAACTAGCCATGGTATTATCTGGCAGTTTTGACTTTACAAAGAACAGTTATATGTTTTTAATCCATAGCTTTTAATCGTTAATCCAAGTTTTCTTGGAAAAGGATGGCACTATGTAACTTTTGCAGAAGAATTTTATGCACTTTAACATTTTTCAACAAAAATTACTTTCAAAAATCTCATTTTGTAGATATTAAATTCTATTCACACCAATTCATACTTTTCTATCTTAGAAAACATAAAATAGGAAAGAAAGAAAAAAGGAAGCAATCACACTGTTATAAAAGAGAATCTTCTGAATTCGATATGATTGCATGATTGCAAAAAGGTAACGAGATTGAAGTATAGAAGTACTCTAAAAATGTTTTGAGGAGATATCACAAGAAATTGTACATAATACGATGGAACCGGGCCTTGATTTGCCATGAAAGGTGGTGAAAGATTGAATGACATGTTAGGAACTTTGCATAAACGGTTATTTAAAGTGGAAATTTCTTGAAAAATTGGCAGAAGATTAATGTACACCTAATTTACCCTGAAGGGGTGCCTTTTTAATTATGGGTAATATTAAGGTGCTGTTCGAACAGACGTTCATTAATTTGGGAAACGTCATTGCATTCATCAGTTCAACAATAATCACTGGCCTTCTGCCATAAACTTGCGCAAAAACCTATGTATATTGCGAATTTCTCATTTTTCAAATTTTTGAAGCAGCTAAGAAATTAAAGAGCGTTTTAAAGTACTCTTCGTTAGGCACTCCTCAGCTAAAATATTGGGAAGTAAGCAGTCACTGATTGGTCAAAAAAGGAACCAATCAAACGTGTTATTCTTTCTTTCACGTTACTTTCGATTCGCATCTGGCTAAAAAAAATTTCTGGCTACCTTTTGTCACTATCTATCCAACGGTTATGCACTCTAGATATGTCAGACGAAAAGTACGTAAGTATGCTATGTTTCCACTTTGTGTGCTATCTTCGAACTTTGCGTCACCAATAACATTTTCAAAATTAAGACTTTTTACCACTCACCTCACTACGACGTCTTGCTTTCTTTGGCGCAACAGAAATTTTTCTTGCCGTTGTATTCTAAAAAAAAGTTGATGATTAACAATTATCCAAAAAATTTGACATAGAAAAATACCTGGTCAAACATCACTAACATACATTTTGTTTGTTTGTTTGTTTATTAAAAATCCGATGTGAAACTTCGCGAAAAATAGAATACGGGAGCGTGGGAACATGAGAGGCTACACGAAACATTCCCTCTATAACAAAACGTCTCTCACGTTCAAATTCCTTTCAAAATAAACATGTATCAGAATGCCTAATTTTTCAGAGCCCTTTGTATTTCAGAGCCCAGTTCTTACATAATTCTTTATTGACACCGTCGCATATGAAAGCAAAAAAGACACCAATATTCATAAAAATCGAGCATTTACTTATGAAAAAAGGACCTTTTTTGATATACAATTTAAAATAAAAAACAATTAGTGAAGCTTAAAAATTGCAAGAAAAATTCAAATCAAGAAACAATTATGTATTTTGCAAACCTAGAACCTCGTTATTTTATTTTACTTTTTCTTCCCTTTTAGCAATTTTGAGCAACAATTTTCTTAAAAAATTTCCTTGCGAAAAAAAGCGTGTGCTACTTGTTTCAATTAACTCATTAGAAAGTTAAGTAATGCCTAATCTACTATGGAAGCTTCTGCAAAAAAGTGTCGATTTAAAAAAAATGTGTAAATTTGGCACTTTAAAGACCAAAGAAATGGGGGCGAGGAAGAAACAATGAACAGATTGAGAAAAGAAAAGAAATGGGAAAGGAACTAAAGTCTGCATCCATAGGAAGCATTCAACAGAAACTTCATGGTTGGTCATGTCTTACATCCAATACCAAAAAGTTTGTTCTCAAGACAAAATTTTAAAGTAATGGTATACAAATCTTTTGTTAATCGTGTTTGAAATACTTCGATGAGATAATTGAACATAGCGCAATATCATAGTTCTAACGGCTATTTATATCAGCAAATAGTCCCAATTTTATGCTAGTTTCAAAAGTGACCAGGATAAGCTTTTAAGCATTCTTATTGTTTAGAGACGACCTCTTTAGAGACGAAAAACTGTCTACTTTTATGAAAAACCAAACATTACTCTAGATTGATTTGTGTGCATTAAAAGTAAATCAAATACAATATTCACTATGCAAAAAGGCAGAGCTACTTTCCTACCTACAGTCGATTAATTGTTCACAACTCTTAGCAGTTTATAAGCGTGTTGCTTGTTTGAAGATGCAGCAATAAGACAGCGTTGGTATTTTCAACTCCAAAATATTCAGATAATATCCAAATAAAGTTGTAAATGCCTACAAGTGCTAGATTAGATATTGATAGTACAGTAAATAAATGTGTAACAACATCTTGATCAAGGACTAAGCCCTTTTCTTTTCGTGCTCATTTCTGTTCTCTGTGCCTCGATTTACCTAGCTGTACGAACAGCCGCCAGTGTCTTTCACTGAAAGCAAATTATCGTTTGCTTCACTTGTCTTACATGAAGACTTTACACTACATTCTAGTTTCAACGTTGATCAACTAACAACGATCAACTGTTACTGCTATTGAGTTCACTGAAAGCAATCTTTTTCGACCTATGCGATATCCATGGCCATTCAATTACCATTTTAGTACAACAGGTTTGGCAACAAGTGAGTGGCTTGAAGGCTGGTGTCTTACCTCCCTTAAAGAATATGAGATTCCACAGCGAAATTTCCGACGTACTTTAGAACACTGGACACCGCTATTCATTTTACTCTATTACAGCAACAACCTGCTTTCGTTCGCAGTTTCCTTCACCTTGTTGAAAGGGTCTTTTATCGATTTCTTTTCGAAATTTTCAAAATTAAACCTACCACTGCTTCATGTATTTTTTTATGTGGTATGATTTGCTTTAACTATGCATGCTGCCAACCACAACATAATACAGCTCACAATTTACATTTACATTGCGGAAATTGATCAATGAGAAGAGGACCCTCTCACAGCAAAGAACACATAGACACTAATCCTGGATTGCTTTGGATCAAAGATTTAGATACATGATATCAAATGATGTGATTCACCAAGGAAGGTCATATCCGCTTAAATTCCCTAAGATAAAGAGCCTGCCTGACACTATCAAATTTCATTTTATATAAATAAAGTTTTTAGTGACTGCATATATTGCTATGTTCCTAAGTTTAAATAACAATGTCGCTATGAAAAATTATTATTGCATCCGTTTTTTATTGGGACAATTTTAAAAGATTACAAGCCTCGAAATCGGTCAAAATTTCAAAACAAGCTGAGACTGAGCTACTGTAAAAGTGTAATTTTGAACAATGTTTCAAATCAAAATAAGGAGAAGATTTTTGCAATCTAGGGATGCTTCTCGGTGAATTTTCAAATTTGTCGCCAAAATAAAGGATTCCTCATTCACTGCGTTGCCAAATGAGGCTTGAACATCTCCCTAGAGCATAATAGCTGGCATTTGCACTGCTTACACCTTTACAATTTAAGAACAAAATAAAAACAATCCAGCCTCGGATGTGTTAAAAAAATTGAGAACAGCCAACCTGAATTTCAATTTACTTGTCCTTATCAAAAAAGAGTGTAATCAAGTTATGATAAAGACGATGATGGCTATTACTGTAAAAGCTCGTTATAGATCCTTAGGATGAAGATGATGATTATGATTTCGATGCAGATGGTGATAAAACATAATAATAAAGAATTTCTATACCAAATAGTAAATAAGCAAGATAAAAAAGTAAACAGTCGAGTCTTAGTATCAATCTAACATATTACAAGGTTTTAACATGAGATGACACAAGAAGCATGAGGATACATTGCAGCCCTGAAGCCTGAACATGAAATATTTTAAATCAACATATTTCAGCATAACCTACTAATGACAAAAAGTAAACGAGATAATACAGGGGTGAGTTTGTAGAACCAAAAAACAAGTTTATGGTGACGATGTTAATGAGACGAAACAAGACATTCTAGCTGCACAGTAGACAGGTACAGAACCTACTCTTACTCAAAATGAGTCACTTTTGTCAGCTGAAAAATAATTAGTTTTTACTCTGGCATTAGAGATAACGTAAGCCCAACGTGAGTGTTATCTGTCTTTTTCGTATTATCGGTTAAAGCGGTTTGAAAATTGTTCCTGAAATCGTAGCAGCTGAAATTGTTCAAAATTTGAAGGATTTGAAAATCTTGAGATTCTTTGAAAATATCTTAACGTCTTAAATCAAATTTGAGAATCTCTCCAAAAAATCACAAACCAGGAAAACACCTCTTTACAATGTAAAGTATCTTTTTTAAATGAAGTAAATGAGTATAAAACAAAGAGAGAAAATAAGAAATTCAATTAATTTTATATTTCTTTTATTATTCAATTATTTCTTTTATATTCGTTTTATGTCCGTCTGCCTCTTTTTTAAAGGTGCATTAAGCGTAGCCATCACATTTGCACTTTACACGAAGTTTTCTTCTAAGGTAACAAAAACAACGAAGTTTCCTTCTAAGGTAACAAAACAATAGCTATAGTTGATCAATCTTTATATAGAAGCACTGGCATTGTGTAGATATGATGAAGAGTTAAGCCTGGTTTCCATATAGCCGTAAGGCTGCCTGCGACTGCCTGCGACTGCTTTCTGCCATCTTCCATCTTCCACCCTTACAGCAGCGCCGGCAAATGGAAACGTTCTGTTTTCAATTGCCTGAGGTATCGGTAACTATGCCGGTAACTAGGTAAAATTTGAGCGGGAAAAACTGGCGGGCAAAATTCAACAACAAAGCCCTGTTTCAATTGGTTCTTGCACATCACATGATCCGTTTGAACAAAAGAATGCCGCAGACAGCCGCAGGCAAGGCGTTTCCATTTGTAATTTGTCTGCCGGCGGTACCGGGAGGCTGCCGTAAGAGCCGGGAAAAGTTGAACTCGTTCAACTTTCTCCCGGCTCTCCCGGCAGTCTTACGGCACTTCAAACAGCTGCCTGCGGTACCGTTAGAAAGCGTTTCCATAAAGAATTGTCTGCCGGCGATACCGTAGGGATGGAAGATGGAAGATGGCAGAAAGCAGTCGCAGGCAGGCGCAGGCAGCCTTACGGCTATATGGAAACCAGGCTTTATGCTTGAAACGTCACAACAATATTCACTTTAAAATCTACAGAGTTGGATTGCAATTATATCAATTTTTAATCATGATTTAAACACGCTGAACTGCATTCATTTTGTTGTATAGATATGTTGTGATACCAAATAATCAGTTACAAATTTAGATAGTTTTTATATCCTTACTTACTCCTGCTAGTATCAGTTAAATTACATGGTCATATGTTATGCAATTGAGGTAGTGCGATGTTATGAGCAGAGAAGGCTTTTCCAAAGTGGCTCTCAAAGAAAAATAGGAAGAAGTAGAAGAGAGTTACTGTTTGGCATTAGCACGATAGACCTAGCCCCTTAAAGCCCTTAGCTCTACACCCCATTGAACATGAAAAAATTATCTTCTACTACATTATCTTCTTCTACTAAAATCTTTGACAAAACCTACTGTCCTAACCTACTAAAATGCCAAAATGCAAGATGCCTTATGCAAAATGTAAAATGTTTGCAGAATCCGCGTAAATGTTTTCGTGCCATAATTCCATTGTTCTCTTAAAAGTATCTATAAATATCTACCACAAGATAGGTGAGGAGAATATCACGCTGTATTGTAAATCTAAGAATATTTTTGTCATTTTCTTGTCTGTTTCTGTCATCACCTGTTCATTTTCAATCAAAAACTGCGAAGGAGCTTTGGACCCAGGACCCTTTCCACCCTTGTAATTATTAGGACATTAAAGGCATTGAGTCATGGTAAATAGGCCCTCTCTAGAGGGGGTCATTTGGTTTCGGCGGTGTTTCATGTGATACTTGCATCCGTTGTTGACAACTTGCTATTGATGGAAATTGTTTTGTCAATCAGTACGAGGTGAGTTCATGTGACCAGTTCCAGGTCAACCAATAGCATGGCATTCATGAAAATCATGAATCAGCGGATTTTGGCAC